CTTGCTTTCCTGCCTGTCTTTAAGCCTATGGTAAAGTGGTACAGAGGAAGCAACGAGTAATTACACCAGGACTCTCTCCGTGTTGGGTTTTGCAGCCTTCTGCAGTTTTAGCAAACTCTTGTTGTATTGTTCATCTGTCTTTCTGTATTAATGGCTTTGAACTCTTGCTTGTAAGGGGAGTGATCAAGGTGTTGCTGCTTAGTCATCAGACTTTGCTTCCTACTTAATCTGAGATGAATATAACAGAGTTTATGTGCATGGTGATTAAAACTGTGGATGCCTTCCATGTGGAAGGATTTCGAAGTGCTCTTTCTTTTTGCCCATCTGATTTTGGGTCTGGAGCTGCCCGGCAGCCTCTGGCACAACAGATCCTTTGCTTGTGATATGGAGTTAAGTGTGCAGGTGTCTGGGTATTAAAAACTGCTTTTATTGCTGAATGCAGAATAGTAACAGCAGTTATGCAAAAGAACAGCCAGGTTGGAGACTTTAAGGAGAGAGATGGTGAGACCTCCCACCTTCCTCATATGTATTACCACATGATATATTAGAAAATCTACCCTAGAAGACTTCCTTGAACATTTTAGCCTGAGTTGCGTGGGAAGCATGTTTTCAGTTCCACAACATTTTAGATGTTTTTCCTATCCTCTGTATGGGATGAAAATGAAAATCTTCAAAATTTTATGCAAACTGAAAAGCCTGAAAAAAATGAAGTTGGGTCAATATAAAGAGCTTAGTGGGATAGTGGCAAATCACTCCATTCAGGTTCAAGTTATATCCGTCTATTTTTTTCCAAACGAGATGAATCTAACTTTTGAAACAAAACAGTGTGTTAGAAATGGTGTCCTTAAAAATGAAGCTAGTTTGGGGTGGACTGAATGGCAAAACCAGTATTTCTGCAGTTTTCTAACATTTTTCCCTGAAATGTGTTAGAAATGGAGTATACACTTAAAAAAAATAGCTTTTTTTTTTTTTTTTTAACCTATAGCAGTGGCTGATCTTGCTGTACTGTACCAGAATGGGTGAACATATCTGGTCCCCTAAATTTGACCTGCCTGACTCCTTCTAGAGATGCTTCTAATTCTCACCTGTGTTTCCTGAACTTCCAAAGTAAACAAACCTTTTTTGTGTTTTGATTCCCTATCTCTACTCATCTTTTTTGAGTCATTTACTGCTCTTCTGCCTGGAAATGGTCACGCTTCAGTATTGCTGGACATACAGAGTTTGCAGAGAATTTTAGAATGAACATCTCTTACAATACAATCACTAGACAATGAAATACATTGAGTTCTCACCTGAAAATGTAGTTCAGTTAAAAATATATACTCACCTACCAGCTCCCTGTATGAAAATGGAGAACTATAAAAAGTAGACAGGCTTGTATGAAGGAATCTGCTAAAGTTAACACATTTTTTCAGTGTTCAGAGAAATTTGATTCATTCAAAAAAGCCTGGTGTGAATTCACCTGGCAGCATTTCCATTTTTTTTTTTTTTTTTTTTCAGATCGTTTCTGAAGGATGAAATAGTCTTCTGTGTGAACTGAGGTTTGTTTTACATTCAGCAGCCTCAGGTCAGGGCCAAAAAAAGGCTTGTCGGGGGACCGGCATGTGGCCAGAAGCAATGTGGCTTTGCTGGGCGGTGAGGGAGGCACACACACACGTCCTGGTTCACTGGGATTTCTCAGCGCACAAGAGAGGACACAGCTTGGGACAGCCAGCTCGTAAAGGGCCAGGAGCTATGCTGGCCATGCTCCTGGGCTATCGTGGCGTGCTGAGTCCACTTGCCCAGAGGTACTGGCCACGGGCTCTGCCTGCAGGGTCCTCCCTGATTTGCAATAGCTCAAACAGTTGAATTGCATGGCCTGACCTCTTCGTTCCCTGTAAAAATTAAAGTGGTTTGGTTTAAAGTGCGTGCAGTACATGCACATAAAATGCTCCCTGGAGCAGCAGCATCTTCTGTGGGGATGTCTGCACCTGAAGGAGAAGCTGATGTCTGGTGGCCGCTGCCCCACGCAGGTAATGATAACGTATAAATGCTCCTTTCCTCCTTCCTGGTGCCTCCTAACTTAGTAGCTGTTGTACTCTTTGAGGTATGTGCTGTGCTTTACTTTACTCGTAGTAATGATCAGTGATGTTCTCTGAGAAAATGATCACCTGAGCCTGGCTGGAGCACGGCCAGGACTGCTGTTGGTTATGCTCGTGTGGCTGATTCTGCGCTTCGCTGATGGGTGAGAAAAATGGCAGAGAGGAAATGTGTTGCTGGTCAGCCTCAAAAAAAAAAAAAAAAGTTCAAAATATTCAGTGAACCAAGCAATTGCCAAGAGTTTTGTTTCATGTCAGAGGAACTATTATATTTATTTTTCAAGCTTTCCCAATAAAAAACCTACCGCTATCCCAACATTTTAAAAGGCAACATCAATTCAAACTGACAAATGGAAACATCTTGTTTTCAAAACACTGAAACAAAATAATTGATGCTTACTCCCGCTTCTCACTCTTTCCTGCACAACAAAAACAATTTGGCAAAGTTTACACCCAGTTGTGAGATGTCTGGGTACACCACAAACTGTGCCTGGTTTCTCTCTGCAAAATTGAGTGCTGGGAAGTGACAAGTTTTCAGTGGAGTGGAAAAGTGAGGTTTTTTTCCCAAATATTTGATAGATGATGAGCAGTACAGCAGCTAATGGAGAGCTGATGCTACCATGCTCAGATACTGAGTGTATGAAAAAATTGTATTGCAAAGATTCACTTCAATTCACTTGAATGGCTGCATCTATTATAATAAGGACATGATTGTATGAGAAGGGAAATTAGCTGACCACTTTCTAAGGTGGCATTACCTTGAAATTGTCATTCCCTTTAGAGTTTGTACTAGTACAGTTGTATTGCTGTAAGGTCACAGCTTTCATATCCAACAAGTGCAGGAATCTGCTGGAACCAGCCAGTTCCTTCTCAGCGGATTCTTGCACTGAACTCTTCTGTGACTGGTGAAGAGGATGGAGATGAAGAGGTGAAGCCAGCAGCATCCCCAGCCTCGTCTTGGCACTTTGGGACTTCATTCCCTTTTTGTCCCTCAGGTTTGAACTCACTGCATTTGTGTCTTCTCAGGATGTGCAGGCTCTTGTGTTTCCTGAGCCCTCTCTCCTTTCTGTATTCACCTCAATCCCATGCTGGAGTTGGGTACACTTGCACTCTGGGTACATTTTGTGAGATAAAGCAACATTTCCTCAATTAGAAAAGCTAAAGCAAAATAAGCTCTCTTGTCCTAGCTGGTGACATTTAGTAAGTCTGCTGCAAGGTGCCAAGTTTCAGAGTATTGCAGCAGAGATGTTCACACTTCAGTTTCAGATTTAGATGTTCCAGAATAGAAATAAGACATGACATAAATAATTTAATTAATAAAATAACTATTAAAAGGCCATGTGAATTTGGCACCTGGAATACTTACACATGCTTTAAATCCCACAAGGGTGCCTCTTGTAGGTTCATAATGCCTGTGAATATTGTGCTGCCATTTTCATATTGCACCTTTCCATTCAGGGATTTTGCAGCACTGGTTGTTCCCTGGTGTCCTGAATGCTGAGCTGGGACATGAAGAGGTGAAATATTTGTGCTGCAGAGAGTTAGGACCAGTCTCAGAAACAAGGTAGATTTGCCTGATCACTGAATTTCACTATGTATTTCTCATTCATTTGAACTGGCTCCAGGAACATCAGTTCTTTTTCCAGGGGATAAACATGATATTAAAGTGGAGGTGGAGAAAGAAAAAGCACAGGCTGTCATCCCCACTGAAAAACAGCCTCTCTTTGGGGCAGCAGGAGTTGTCAAAAATCACGTTTGCCATGTTAATGATTCAGTAGGAGGTTAACAGTGCCAGTGATCAGATGGATAATTCAGTTTAAAATTATTGTTTTACCTCACTCCATCCAATTACTCAAGTTGTTTTGCTATCCCACAGATCTCTCCGTTAATGTCAACAAAATGATTATAGACTGCAACAGCTTCAAGATGTTTCACCCACAGGAACGCTGGTGAAATGTTTACGGCACAATGTGTTGAAAGCAGCATTTGATGTGTAAATGTCAGGAACAATCAGCTTTCCTGTCACCAGAATGAACACGCACAAATACAGGTGCTGAAAATGTCACATGCACAACCAAAGAGCTACTTTATCACAGGCCACGTAAATCATCATGTAAACAGCCAACATCAGTGTCGGTAACGGTGTGAAAAAGCCACCACAGCTCTTTGCTGGTGATGCTGTGCACCATTTCTGATTTGTGAATCCCGATCGGCAGCGCGGTCCTTCCTTTAGCATCGGTGACTGAACTGATGGCAGGGAGATGGACAAAGGACGATGGCCACAATGAACACAGACCAAACCTCGCTGCTTGAGGGGAAATCAAATTCATAAAGGATGAAGATGCACCCTGGGAGACACTGGGGCTATCTAGAAATGGGTCATGATGCCTCCTTGGCAGTGTGGCTCTCGGGGCCTCACCTGGATAGCTCCCTTCTCGGCAAAACCTGCGGAATAAAGTTTTGTAACAATGATGAACATCTGCAGCCCGGAGCCCCTTGTACCGTGGGCACCAGACAATGAGTCCCCGTGTGTTCCGAAACTACCGCCAGTCCCGTGCCTGTGCAGCAGAGCAGGGGGGCACTGCGGGAGCAGGGCTGGGGTCCCCCATCTCCGTCCCCCCATCCATGCTGGCACCGGGGGCGAGTCGCGCTTTCTGCTAGCAGACGGGTGGTCGAATAAAGCTTGCTGTCAGTCTGCCAAAGACTTTGCAACTCCAGTTCCGCTGATGCTGAGGGTGCCCAGATCCACGGATGATGGTTTCTGTGAATTCCACAGATTGATCAAAAGCACGTTTTTGCAAATAAAGCTTTATGAATTCCCCGTTGCATCAGCACTCCTCATATTTTGGTAGTAGAAGCTACAAAGAAAAGTCTGATGAAACAAGCCGGATCTGAAGGCAGAAGATATTGAAATCTGGAAGATTTAATTTAATATTTTTATTATATATTTTTGGAGCCCTGATTATACCCCCACCCTCCAGGAATTTATTTACCTAAGTAAAATTATACTACTGATTACAAGATTGCAGGTTCATTTTCACTGCTGAGAACTCATTTTTTTTACAGCTCACGTTACACTTGCATGACTTGTAAAGTTTTGAAATTTTTAATGCTACATTGCTGAAAGGTACTTATATATAGATGAACTAAGCAGAATACTTGCTTTGCAGTCTTTTTGAGGGGAAAAAAAGTTAGTTTCTTGGTTTGAATGGGCCTGTAAATGGTTTCTTTGAGCTACTGGATAGTGAGTTCACAGGGTGCTCACAGGAGCTGCCTTGCATTTGTCCTTCAGGCTGAGTGCAAAGTGAGAAACTGTGAGAGGTGTCTTTTAAACATAACATAAGAAGGAATGCTTTCTACAGGGGAATAAAAAGAAATGATACAGAAATCGTGACTGTAGTGTGCATGAAATTATACTGGCAAGGTCCCCATGGTAAATATTTGACAGATAGGACATCTTAGTCAGAATCTCAGTTTTTCCTATAAATCGTTGCACCTGGACCTTTTAAATCATAATTCACATCATCCAGCACTGCATACTGAGTTAAGGTCAGGAGAGATTTCTAGATGTATTATGATGATTATCTAACCATTCAGTTAATAGAGACATAGAATTGGATGAGGTTTTTGTCAATTCCAATGTCACAGCAACAGAGACCTTTGACTGAAACAACATCATGAATATTGGATAAGATCCTACAGTGCTGCTCTTCCATGTTATGATATTATTCAAGGATGAAGGTTATAAATACATGAATGTATACTGTTCACTTTCCAGTTGGTAAAAACAAAGAAAAAAATCCCCATAATCAAGTTCCAATACACAACTAGATATAATATATCTTTTTCTTTATATATATATCTGTATATATATCAAGTAAAAAAATCTAAAATAGTTGGAAGTAAAAAATGAAAAAATAGCTGATTGTGTTATTTTTTCCTTTACAGTGATATGGTAGCAAATACAAGACAAATGAATAATAATCCTTTATATAAGGTGTTCTGGTCCCATCTTCATCAATAGGGCTCTAACTAGAATAGAAAATGGAACAAGGTGAGTTTTGTTTTTTGGCTGCGGCTTTTGCAAGTGACAAAGATGATGTTGATAAGACAGAGGAAATTATAGCACTAAATAAAATAAAAATCCAGAGTATTTTCCAAGAGACCTTAAATACCATAGGGTAAAATTTACTTCTGAACTGAGGGAGCAAACACAATGCATCACCAAGTCCTACTTAGTCTGAAAATACTGTATGCTTATCCTAACCTCAAAATATGTCCCTTTTGTGCCATCTTACTGTAAAAAACCCCTATCAATGTTTTGATTTCCCACCCCACCCGCCCCACCTTGCAACCAATAATAAAAAAGTAAAACCACAAATCCATTAAATGGACTGAGCCAGATGTTAGACCTCAGTGATGCACAAGTGGTTGGCTACCCTTTGTCCAGTGGCGAATTTTCCCCAGAATCCTTTACATTGGAAATGTCAATTGACTAAGCTTGGCAAATAGTCACACGGAGCCCTATTTTGGCCATAGAAAAGAAAGAAGTACTAGTCTCAGCATAAAACAAGATCATATAGACAGTCAACACAAAACAGTATTTTTTTTCAGTTGTCTGCATAATAATAACATCATGTTTGCATATAGAACAGCTTTTGCATTATTGCTCTACTTATAAGAATATAGTAAGGAACTTATAACAGACTTGCACATTACAAACTTAAGGTTCTTTGGTGAAGAATGAGAAAACAGTATTTTCACTGTAATTAAATCTCAGAGAAGTGTTCATTTTTATCTGTTGATCCTTTGGATTCTCTCACAGAGGAGGGAAAGGTATTGAGTCAGCTTTACCATCGCGACGATGGCAACCCCGCCGATCATCATGCAGGTGGGCCAGAAGAGGGAGTGGAACAGAACATTGGAGCTGTACAGTTTGGTTAATATCACGTTCTTCTGAATGCCTTCGGGGTCATAGAAGCAGGAGAAGCGTTGGTACTTTCTGAAATTTTCCATCACGACGTTCACCACTGACATGGATTCCTCATAATTCTTGCTGCACTTGGGTATGTATGAACACTGGGAAGAAATTAGAGGGAGAAAAATGCATCTCCAAACCAGATACCATGTCTGTTTTCAGGTGGCAAGCAGGAAAATCTCAAGATGATTATGCTTTTCATGATAAGATTGGAATATTATTAAGCTAATAATAAATTTATCACAGACAAAACTCAATATTTTGCACATCTACAAAATTTCCTATTGGAGAACCTCCAAGTGCTGTACAAACATTAATGCTTTAATCTGCGCAGCAGCCTCGTGAGATAGGTGAATATATTATTATTGCTAATTTACACATGCAAAAATGGAACTGATGAAGTACCTCTTCATCTTAAGTGGCACGCATATGCTTGCAGTTAGATGGGTAATTGACTCTCTGTAAATACAAATCTGGTAGTTCAGATCTCACTTGGATCGGATCAAAGTGATTGTAGTGGGCACAGGAGTTCACCCACACAGGGGAAGGCTGAACAGAGACCTTTATACAAATTTTCCCTTGGAGGTAATGCCTCAATCAGGGACAAACAGTCTAGGAGAAAACACGGTTTTCTCAGTGACCACCCAGAAGACTTTCATTCAACCTATAGCTGAAGATCAGTCTGGCTACCAGGCTGGCTCTTAGTCTTGTTTTTGCTCTTGACCCCATCCTAAGTCCAACAGTTCCTTCTCTATGAAGATGATGCTTGAATTTCAGTCTCAGTCACAAAGAAAAGAAGATATGGGGGTGACTCTATCTAACACAGTTTCAACCTAGCATTCCCAAAGAATACTAAAGGCAAGTTAATTAAAAAACTAGCTTATGGAGTCCGTGCATTGAAGTTATTCCATGGAACATGCAGGAATGTGTCCCTGGGCTGTGTTGATCATTCCCTGCATAGAGTTAGTGTGGGCTGGTGAGGTGGTGGGCAGACACAAGGATTAAGGCCACATCTGGATTTTGACCTAGAGCAGAAACACCTGAATTTGCTGTTTCTGCTGCTGGTCTGGAAGAGAATTGATGGGAGCAGCCCAGGGCCCCTCACTCTCTCTTCTAGACATTTATGCCTCTCCACACCTGAAGATTTTCTACACCTGCAAAAAATTTTGATTAAATTCCCCTACGTAATGATGAAGTGCTTCAGGAGGGGTGGAAATCTGCTGCTTAACTGAATGTGCATGGGGGTACCTAGCAGGTCACTGCTGCCTCACAGTTATGGGGTGATCATGGGTCCCCACTTTGCTCTCTGCCTGAGATGCTGAACCTGCTTGTCCTGGGTAAGCATATAAAGTAGCTCCAGACAATTTAATGAGAGAAAGGGAGTTTTGCAAAGGTAAAAAAGATGCTTTGGATAGAATAATGTGAGCCATGGCTTTTGATTAATATTGTTTTAATGTATGTACTTTATAGATGTTCCTCCGTTCTTTTTCATGACTATGTTGTGACTTTTTTGTAATGTACTGTGACAAATCTGTAGTCTTAATAATGATCAAAGGATTAACCTCATAACAGGATTTGATTGATTCATTGGCAAGTTTATTAGCACAGAATATGATTTGAAGCACAGCAGAAAGATTGTCTGGTGTTAGCAGACTGGAGAATTAAGGGTAGAGCATGGCAGCACTGCCATTATGAATATTTCATAGAGCTCTAGAAATTAGAGATGGAAAATATCAGAGCAGTAATATCTCATCCATCTTCCTGATGGTGCGGGTCTGCTCCCTCCAGGATATTCTCTTGCACTCTGCCCAGCTTTGTCTTAAATGTCTAAAGCCACAAGCCCTCTTCTAGTGCCTGTGACACTTTAATAGATCATAATCTAATAAGTAGGGGAAATTTCTCAGTGAAACGTACCTCATTTTCTTTTACTAAATTATGTGCTATCACTGTCATAACAGAGTATTTCTAACTCAGGCTTTTTTTTTATTTTGGTTGTTGTTTTTTTTGGTTTTTTTTTCCTTGCAACTTTGGTGCTATACATTTTTGTTTCTTGAAGTCCCATGAAGTATCCTGGAGGAGGAGATTAAATGAGGACTTTAGCTGCTCTTGATAAAGTCCAACACTCCCCCCTTGACAGAAAACAGCAGGCATATAAAAGCCCAAATGATGACAGATTTCTGGACTCAAAGTCTGCGGAAATGTCCCAAGAGTGCAGCAGGAGAAGGTCTGACTTCCTGAAAGTCTGAGTATTTTTCAAGCATTTTCAAAGGAGACTTGATGTTGAAGTAGAACTTGAGCTGTTGCTTCCTACACCTGATGGCACAGAGCCACCAGCTGTGTTGGGATGGTTGGGCTGCCCATAACAGGAGGGAGCGGGAAGCTGTAATACACAGTTGTGTGAAGGAGCTTGATTTACTCTGCCTCTCAGCCAGGATCCTTGTCCTGAAACTATCTGTCTGTCCAGGTTATGGCAACCCATGTGCTCTCCAAGAGATGTTCCAAGTGCTATCTGCCTTGTTCCAGTTCTCCCAAGCTCCTGGAGGCATTCTGGCCTCAACTTTGAGGAGTTCCTCAGCACATGGACTCTGTGCATTAAATTGTGGTTGCAGGCTGCTCCTGGCCTCCTTCCACTCCTTGGCTTCCCCGGCAAGATCCCAGGGATAGCACTGGTCTGGCTCTGCTGTGCTGGTGTCTGCCGTGTTGCATAGGCCATTGGTGAACAAGTAGGTACACACAGATAATGGGATGTTTTGATGTTTTCTTTGGTTTGATCTTCATTCAGTTTTCTCTAGTGCCTAGCAGGGAATTTTATATCCACAATTGTTATGCTATACCTGTGAATGTAGACTACTAAATCTATGCTGTTTTATTACACCCCTGCATTGTCAAACACTTGGAAATCTGCGAATCTGAAAGTAAACAATGTCTGGCTTTCTACCTCAAGTGGGGATTCTGCGATACAATGTGAGAAAAGTGGTTGTTGTGTTACTTGCAATTTGATCACAAGAAGGACATACTACACAGTTACAAAGAAAACTTACTATTACATTTCCAGCTCTACTTTCTTAATTTAAAGGATTGGATAGGTAGCCTGTATGAACTACCTCCGGACACGTCCTGTCCAGTGCCCTGCTCAGTGCAGTGTTGACTCGTCCAGCCGAGTTATGAGTATCTCTATGGATGGAGATAACACAACATCTCCAGGCAAGCTGGGGGCAATTTCATTTAAATCAATGTTGTTACACTGAAAAAGCTGGGCAGTGAAGTACATGACTCTCATCGTGTGTTTGTGTCCATTCTAAGCATGGAAACTTTGACAAGATCTTTGTGAGAAAGTGGTCAGGATGTCAATTTACATCTCTTTGGAAAGTGCAACAGGTTTGAACCAAGGGCTGAAGGAGGAGATTTGTGTCTATGTTGGCCTGATATTTATTCCTGCTGACTGAATTTTCCAGTCCCAGCCCAGAAATGGGTCTGCTGTGTAACACAGCCAAACATCACAACTCCTCTCTGGCACCAGGCAAACTCCTGCCTGGGTTATAAATACCCAAACCTTCAGCGGGAAATCACCATGAGATCCCTCATCATTTCTGAGTCTCAGGCAGTTATAGCTGGCATAACGACGATTCTTGTGATTAAATTCTGCTTGTTATCTCACTTATGGAGCATGGGTATAAATCAGCAGTGGCTCTGATGACACGAAAAGAATCAAAATGATATAGTATGAGGTGGAAATGGGGCCTCTAGAATTGCTTTAACTATCGCAGCCTTTTCTCAGGGTGACAGCCTGGCTCTGTGGTTTGGGCATGAGGGGACACTGGCCGATTTACCTCTCGCATAGGCTGTTACAGCCTCTGACAGCTGAGAAAGGAAAGTGTAACTGTGAAAGCATTTAAGCCGCTGTGCTTGTAGTATTGACAAGGGGCTGGGCTTGTCCTAAAGGCTAGAGATGAAGTACGCAAAGCGAGAGCAATGAAAAGCCATGAAAAATCTTGTGTGTTTTCCTGGGAAAGACTCGAGCAGCTTGACTGGTATCCACTTACTTCCCACTGATTCCCACCAGAGACTGGCAGCAGCACGTTGTAGATCTCAATATAAATTGCACCTACTCCTTACTGCACCTTGTGAGCTGACAGCTAGGTTAGACAGCAAGTCTCCCAGATTAATCATTATTTAAAATCAAAGTGCATTTTGCTCCATCCGTGCTAGCTGCCAGGGAGAGGAGAAAGATGGGATCCAGATGATGCTCTGCATGTGCGGCGGTGCTCAGTGAGGCAGAGAGGTTGGCAGGGGGATGCTGACCTTTTGAATGTCACTGGTGGTGGCCTTGGAGGGTAAGCACCGTGTTCTGCAACATCCCCAGTAATGTCAGGGCTCAGTGAGCCAGGGATGGCTTTTTTTTTGTTTGTTTATTTGGCAAGGAGAAAGATGGGAAACAGACCTGAGTAGGTGGATGGAGAGAGACAGACAGCACTTGGCTGGAGCATCACAAAACCTGCCGTGCTCAGGGCTGCTGGTCCCGCTGCACAGAGCCGTGCTCCAGCCGGGGAGCGCCTGCCCAGGGAACTGCGATGGGCTGTGCTGATCTGAGCTTGGAGTCTCTGCTGATCTCGGCCAGGCACAAGAAGCCAGGTATTTTATAGACATTGCAAACTTCCATTCAAAACGGTGTTTGGATTCAGGTCACATAGCCAGCAGCATTGTCAGGAAAACCTAGGAGTCCTCCTGAGAGCAAAGCTTAACCTGTAAAACAACCTTGGGCTTGAGAAGTATTAACTGTGCCTACATTAAATTAAGAGGAGGCGGCATCTGGGAGAATTTCTAAGTCCATTTCAGTAAGCAAAAATCATCAGTAACAGAATGTGGAGATTTGTGCTGAATCTCTTGATTTATTTGAATCCAGTGGAGCACAGAGCCCAATCTGATCTGTTTTAATCACATTGTGGCATAAGCATCACTGGATTTTGCTTCTGTCCCAGCAGACAGTGGGGTCTGTCCTGCCACAGGCTTCACACACAGCGAGTGCCTCCTTTCTGCACTGACGCCAAACTGGAGGGGGAGATGGAGGCACTCTTCTCTATTTCACACTTCAGATCTAGAGGACTTTGTCTCTCAGCCACAGGAGCTAATTATCCAGCACGATAACTGGCCCGGTGCAACCATGCCATGCTTTGACTAATTTTAATATCACTTCATCTTAATATGCAGAAGTAATTTGGTCTGCTGAACTGCTGCCATAAATAGAAACACAATAGGTTATGTTGTCAGCAGCCTGAACAGGGGCTCTGCTGTTACAGGCTGTGCTTTGCCAAGCGCCCATAGTTTGGGGTTCAGTGACCTTGGATAACTAAGTAGTTAATGCAAATCTGGCACTTGTAAGTCTAATGACTTAGCTGTGTCCCGGCTCACTGCAGCTTGCAGTCTTAGGTACCCAGGTGCTGTAGATATGAAGAAAGGGAGGTAGGGAGAGGGACATTTCTTAGTCTGATCCTGCCTTGTTACGTGGAAGGAACAAACAGCCACCTGCAAAGAGGCAGTTGCTTGCCTGGGTGTGATGCACAGCACTGTGTCAGCTGCACAGCTGTGACTGCGGGCATGGGGAGTTGTCTTCTGTGTATCCACTGTGTTCATTATAGCCTCCAGACAGGAGCTGTCTCCATCCCACCTGGATGGAGTTACGCTGGATTTTGTACTTGTTGAAACAAAGAGACAAATTCTTCTGCAGATTTGTTAAAAATAATTTTTTTGGTTCAATATTTGTAATGAGAGAAGTTGTGCAAGAAAGATGGGCTGACTCCTTAGCTTATACATGCCCAAAAGCCAGGCCTTTTATTTTTATGCTGCTGCTTTTATCTTGACAGTCACTGCTTATCAAATTTTCAGCATCCTTACACCATCTACAGGGGTAAGTGCTGTGCCTTGACCCCAGCAGCACAGCTGACCTCAGCAGAGATGCTCAGGGCACAAAGTTTGTCACCAGAGATTGAGACGGAGACACGTCTGTTGTTAGACACGGGGCTCTCATCTCTCCCCATTGCCTTGCCTGGCCCCTCAGTAATAAGGCCATTTTTATTCTCACTGCCACGGATGCTCCGTGCACATCACTAGGGATGTTTGCTATCATGCAGAGTCAAACCCACGTAGGAGGTGACTTGTCCACAGCTCCACGAGAATATTAATGTGACAAGTGCTCGGTGTTAGCTTGAGCCTGTAAAGTACTTGCAAAGACAAGGGAGGCTCCAGCCTCCAGTCGACACCACCCCATGTGGGATGAGCTGCGGGTCCCTACCTGGGATGGAGAGGGAAAACTGCCCCCTCCAGTGATGTGAGCTCAGTTTGTGCTCTGATTTCTGATTTCTCTGCTCCATATTTACCGGTGAAGCAGGAGCTGGAAGCCTTATATAGCTTTTAAAGCGAGGAATGGGTATAACAAGGTGAGCAGCCCTCCAGAAACCCATTTAGGAAGAGATTTTATTCTGTGCTCTTACCTCAGAATTAATTTTCATTGTTTCTTCAGTGTGATAGAGCAGAAGCTTCTGGCCAGAAGAGGTGAGATTAACGTACACCTGGAGGCAGGGGTACTGAGAGATTTTCCAGCAGTCTGGACCGCAGCTAAATGAGCAGTTGAAGGTTTCTGTGATGGATGCATTGAGAAGTGAGCACTGAGCCTCTTCTGTCCAGACACTAAGTAGGAAAAAAAAAGAGATGTTAGAGCATAGTGAGAATGGGCAATAAGCACTAAATGCAGCTCAGACTTTCCATCAGGGATATATCAGGGGCATCTTGTAGGAGATGGTACATGTTGCAGGGCTTTAAGCAAATACTAGGCTTTCTCACATCACATGTCACAGGCAGTGTATGATTCTGTAGTACTCAAAGTTTGTGCTTTGGGCACAAAAATACCTGATTCATTAGTGTCTATGTATAAATGAAAAGGCAACTGGAATTTTTAGTCTGGAGAAAGTATATTTGAAACCAAAGGGACTCAGCAGAGATATCAGAGAAGAAAACAGCTACCTGCCCTGGGGAGAACACAATGCACACAGTGCTGCATGATGGGACACCCTGGCCCAAGACTTGGTGGTTACCACCAAGTCCAGTTCATTTTAAAGTTAAGGCTGGGAGGACAACTTTGAATTACCAGGGTACATATATTCATGTTCATGATGACACAGCAACACACAAGTGATACCGCAGGCAGCTTTAGCCATGGAAAAACTTTTTCTATTGGCAGCTTGCTTGGTTTTCCATAAGTCAGTGGTTGTAATCATTCTGGAGGATTTCAGCTTTCACCAGAGGCTCAAGCTGGAATGATGGACCCCAGGTGTGCACTGTTAATGTTTGTCTGGGTTTCTTGCATGTATTTAAAAATCTATGGCTGTATTTTCCTTAGAGGTGAGAGCAGTGGGGAGGGTACACTGAGGGCTCTGTGAAAAGATGGGGGAAGGTTTCACTTCAGGGCTCAGCCCCTCGGCTGGCATCCAACACGGCTGTCCTGCCCCTCACCATGAAGGGGCTGAGGGTCTGCTTGCCCCTTGCCAAACCTACAAAAGGCTTTACACAGTAAGTGATATCAAAGATTTCTGACTAATTCTCTTGGTATTTTATTTTGGCAGTAATTCTGCTTCTATATTCTGTTTTACATTTACAGTAAATTAAGCCATGATTTCTGAGGGGAAATCAAGTTAAAAGATTTTTTTTTTTTCCCCTCCCAGGCATTATTTTGTTGGAGGGGTATTGCTGTCTGTAAAGGAGAATAACCCCTAAGAAGATAGGGCTTTGCGAAGAGAAGTGACAGCAAAGACTCCTGGGTTGTCGTCTTCTCCTCACTTTTACCTTTTGACTGCTGTTTTATTCATGCATGGGGGTAACACAGTAACACCTACCTACAACAGACTTGTGAAGATGGAATATTTGATACTTTGTAGGTGCTTTGATACCTTCTGGCAATTTTTCACATAGTTTATAGTATAAATCATCTCTTTCCACAGGAGCAATTTTGACCGTAGCAGCCTCTGCAATTGACCCTGATATTGCTGAAAGGTCGGGGAGAGCAATTTGGAAAAGCAAATGCTCTTGGATACTTAACAGATCTTGATCTCTGTTTTCAAAATCTAAATTTTACCTTGATTTAGAAAGGGACAAATACCTTTATCGCACAAATAAGATGCTGCAAATAAGCACAGTTCGTCTTCAGGCATCACTACTTTTTTATCGTTGCGGGGTCAAGAAGGAATGTTTTCCTGCAGGTGCACCAATATAATAGAGGATGTTCATACCAGTTAACTGTAGGCACTTACTGTACATGCCTGAAGAGGAAGCCTGTGGTGGATAAGCCAAAACGTGCCAGGTAGTCGCCGCTGCCTCAGGGTGGTTTTGGGCATGACAGACTAATATTTTAATGCCCAGTTACACATTTTTCATTCTCCTAACTCCACTGATCAGAGCAGAAAAAACACTGCTGACAGTCTTATTACAGTCTGGGCTGGATTTTAAATAGGATTGGTGCTTGAAAACTGATTTCAAAGCTGCTAATGAATCACAGGCCAAACTTTCTGCTCCATGGCAGAGAAGGAAGCCAAAGAAGGCCTCAGAAAAATTCAGTGCAGTGCAGTAATGATGAAAGATGATCTTTCACTTTCAGCAAATTACTATATTTCAGGAGGATTTCACTTGTTAAAATGAAAATAATAACCTACATGGAAAACTACATGCTACAGAGCAGCTTGGTTTCTTTCCCAAATTAATTTTCCATTCTTCATTTGAAAGTGAGTTGTTTCTAGAGGCTGCTAAATATTTTTCGCTATTTTCTCCTGAGTTTGGGCTTTGCAGCAACAGCCGCTGAGAGGCTTATAGGGTTCAGCAGGCTGTTGACTAGCTGATATGGATATTATACTGGTGTTAAACTGTGGCAAGTCTAAAGCCTGCGGATCAAGATTTTGTCAAACAGGGATCTAATTCTCCCCTCACTTATCCCACTATTACTCAATTTGATTTCACTGTAGTTATGCCTAATTTATACTGGGGTAAGGAAGTGCAGAATCAGGCCTATGTTGACCAAAGGAAAAATTATAAAACTTTAATAAAAGAAGTCAGAAGAATAAGCCACATGAAGTCAGCTGGAGCAGAGCGTGTGAGATCAGGGTAACCATCATGAAATTACCTTTGCATGTAAGACCGCAGCAGGGTGATTCCCAGGAGAAAGTACATCATGATAGAGCACACCATCATGGCCAGCCCGAGGAGTATGGCCCGATCTTCTCCAGCTTTTAGGGCTGTGACTGTTTTCCTTTTGTCCAGTAGATCATGATCCCTGATTTTTTGGTAAATATTTCTGAGGTTGAAAATAATACGTTCTTATGTAAAATTCGTATTTAATCAATGAATCCTCTACAGGGTGGATAGTTCCACCTCCATACCCGTCTCGTGGGAGAGAAAGGCTTAAGGGTCCTCAGGTGTCCTTTTTCATCGGATTGACTCTGACCTGGTGGAAATTTATTCATCTCCAAAATAAATTACAGCCATTTCTGAAAAAGTAAAAACCTCTTATAGCAAATATAAAGATTAGACACTTGTGCCAGCTCAGTAAATCCTTCTTTGTTACAGTTTCATTGGCTTACTTGAATTATCCTGTAGGTGAATTTGACCTGTCGATGCCATTTTAGGCCACTAGAAGATGTTTAGGTATATGAGGTGTCTTTTCTTCAGTTGTATATGGTAATAGGTCTTATGTTACTATATGTAGAAAATAGCCTGAAGAAAGCCGTCACTAAAATTATCTGAAAGGGCCACATTCTTTTTTTATTCCCTACAGGCTAGTGGTTTGGGTAATTTTCCGCCCTGAGTGTGACTCAAAGCACATGAAAGAGTATGGGGATTTTGCAATTGATTTCTGTGGGTTTTCTCATTGGGAGCTTGTTTACTTTATTTATATGAAAGCTTTCTGCAAGCCCAGTTACTCATTACAGTGAAAAAGTGAAAACCCTCACAGAAAATTATCCACCAGAGCTATTTGTTCTGGGATTAAAAAAAAAAAAAAAAAGATACAACAAACCATTCCCCCTTCAGCAGAGAGTCCTTTGCATTTTCTAACCATAAGTCCTTCTTTCATCTCTGAGCCTTTGATGATTCAATGGGTCATGAGGACACAGTGGTGAAGAAGGAAATATTTGAGTACATTTCAAACACACTCAAACTTTGTGGGTTTAAAATGTACTTACAGACCTGAGGCTGGTCAAAATATCCTGTTTTCTGTTACTGTTCTTTTGAATCATCCAGGCAGCACCCGAAGCACGTGAACCACACACCTCTGAGCCCTGGCACCACCATAACATGGACATAGTTGTACATGCGGAAGAAGTTCCTCTTCTACTGTCTGCAAAATGGCAGGTGAGCAACATCAACATCACTTTGGGCTCTAGCAAATCCACCACTCATTTAAGCTGAAACCACCATGTTTCACTCAACCTTGGATAAAAGTGCTGTGTCAGACCAACCATATAACTTATAGTCATTAATAGGGACAAAAAAATAGAGTTAAGACAGATGTAAAATCATAAATAAACATAGTAGAAACAAGAAAATAGGTTTAATCATAAACTCTCCAAAACTGGAATTGAATTTGTATTTAAATGATGAGTCATAGTCAGGAAAAGCACATAGGGTATGGGGTTTTTTAGCAAAAATCTTGCTTAGATGGTACTGCAGTTAAAAGTTTCCCATACCTAAGACCCCTTGAGGTTTCTTCATCGAAGTATAATTTACATCTTTAGTTGTCCATAGTTTCTCTTCAAAACCATCCTTTAAATCTTGTCAATGTTTTCCTAGTTGGAATTGAAATGGTAATTCAGCCTGTCAAAATTTTCTCTGATGTTGGGGAGAAAAAAATATATTGTGAACTGGCAGATGCAATTGCCTTCAAAGAAGTAATGTAGAGTAATAATCTAATGTTACTTTTCTATTATTATTTATCAAACTGTATTTAACTCTGAGAGCTGCTATTAGGGTTTGCATTGCTCCCAAATGGAAGTAGGCAGGAAGGCAGAGATTGTCATGCAGTTCCAGCACATTAACTGATCACACAGCATAACTTATGTCAGTGCGTAGACATAAAACAGACACAGTGCAATCGCTCACTGGTGTCATCAGAGCAGCTAGGACATAAAAGGGATACAAATGGACAATTTAAAAACAAATAGCTAATTAAGAATGGTTACAAACACTTCCCATGTGGCCTTGAGCCAAGAACTGTGCAATGAGAGGTAAAAAAAAGGATGGACTGAAGGGTATGTTGTAGAAATTATCTATTTGGAGGTGACTGGCAAAGGGGATGGTGTGCGGTGATTGCCTGTCAGGTCGATCTCCCACGCACGCCTGCCATAGTAGATAAAGCTAAATAGAGCTCTGCCTCGGGGGTCATGCTCAGAGCAGTTGTTTGGTTGCTCTTTTGCAAATATTTGTTATTCAAAGGCCTGAACAACAGAAAAATGGTAGCCCGGTGCACCTTGCCGAGGGCTTTATTCCTCCTGATTCCTTGCCAGGAGCCAGCCTGGTGACACACGCCGAGGCGTGGGGTGGCATGGCACGTGCCGATGTATGACACACCGGTCCTGACGCAGCCCAGGAGACACGCTCAATAACCATCCCTCCTCCTCCTCCCCGCTCGTGCCCGTGCCTAGGAGGTGCCAATTTTCTCCGTGTGATACTGGGAACATCTGCTAATACCAGACTTCACATTTTTGCCCCCGAGAGCCCTGTTCTGGGGGGACATGGTATGCTGTGCAGAATGTTTTGCCACTCACAGAGCAGCCTCGGCATCTCGTTAGCTGGAGAGGCAGCAGTGGCCTGCATGCTTGCGTGTGCTGCTCTGTGGAGGGGATTTTGTGTACGTGTGAACTTTTGGCACAGCTCAGGGACCTCTTTCTGCTTGGTGTGCTGGAAGAGTGCCGTGCTTAGCTGGCTGATTTTTGGATCCCAGGGCTGCACAGCCACAATTAGCTGACTGCTGCGGTGTGTTTAAGTACAGATCACTGCATCCCAGACACTACTCATCTAGGTGACTCTATCTAATATTTGTGATTACCTGTGATAACTCCCCAAATATGACACTGAGGGGGGCTGTTTCTTTTAAAGAAGTCCACCTGTCAGAACAGGGGGTCTCTCTGCCCTGTGCAAGGACAATAGAAAGCAAGCCTCCAAGGAGGACAAAAGGTCTTTGCTCCCTTGATCATTTCCAAACTGAAGTTCTCTCCTGCTAAATCTCCATGTTTGTTTTGTTTTGTTTTTTTTTTTATTTTTTTTGCCAAATTGCTCAGAGGATATGGGCTGGCTCTCTACCCAGGCTCAGCTGCCAGAGAGGAAATCTCAGCCATGACTGTGCCTGCTGGGGACAGAGCAGAGATTTCCCTCTCCATATCTCTCTGCACAGCAACAGTGCGGGGATCCCTCTGCAGTGTGGTCAGCAGCTCCTTACGTCATCTCCAGAGGAAGGCTTAGGGAGGACCTGGGTGATGAAATTAGGCAGCCCAGGTTATGTTAGCCTGAACACAAGAGAGCCAAGGAGACTTACAGTGTTGGTCTGAGCCTATCGGCCTTAATAAAGAAATTCTACATCTTCTGTACAGTTGCCCATATTTGTTGCAGCCAAGATCTTTATTTGCCATCATGAGGTACATGAACTTTTAGCACTCGCTTATATTAAGGACGAGGCATACCATCTTGCTCTGTGATCTGCTGGCACAGGACTGCTACACAGCTTTGGCAATGTGGTTAATTTATTGGCATATATTAGGAATGGTCCTGTATGCAAAGAATTTCCAATTGGGCACTGCCACAGAGAGCAGGAGAGTCTAAAGTAATGCTTCTTCTGACCCAGTGCAACAGTTCTTATTTCGCTCAAAAATGAAAATCGGTAGATCAATGAGCTCTACAAAGGTGGTCAAGTTTCCTCACTGGAAATTTAGAATAATCAGGCACCTGCAATTACTCTTTTTTTTTTTTTTTTTTTTTTTTTTTTTTTTTTTTTAAATAAACACAAATTACCTACTCTCATATTCCTTCCCTTGCAAAAGGACCATGGTGTGGCACTGAGGGAGACACTGCTTTCCCCAGCACTGCCTGGTCATGGGGATTTTCAGACAGGGATACCTGCCTGCTTGAATTATTACGAGTGACTTTGAAATCACATTCACTTCTCTGATATCACAGTTGTTTTGCAGATGACACACAAATTTCCCCATGTTGAGGTGTTTACTGATATCAGAAACCCCTCCTGTATCTTACCTGCAGAACTCCCAATGTTCTGGGATTTATCTGCTCAGAAGCCAATTTCTTTATATATTTCATTACAGTGTATATTTAGCAGCATTAGTTTTTGTTATTAGAGTTATGGCAACAGGAAATCTTTCTGGAGCTCTCGCAGAAGTCTCAGTGATGGTTGTAGAAGGATTACTATCTATACAAAGAGATTTCCTTTACTCAGTTCCTTCCCTCCTCCCCACCAACCTGGACCAAACTGAACCAAGCGAGCTTACAGTGTCGTGGAAAGCCTAATTGACAGCTGAGAAAGAATGAGGACTTGACTAGGCTTCCAAAGCATAAAAAGTGACAGTTGGTGAACTGTGGATGTCTAAACCAGCAATAAAATATATACAGTTTGGACTTGTTCCTGCAAAAAGAGATGCCTCAGAAGGTGATTCCTCCACAGCAAGTGACCCATTGCTGCACAGGTTATTATTCTGGTACAATCCTTCAAATGTCTGTGGTTGTAGCATGTATTAGGTGACAAATCTGCTGCTCCACATGACAGTCTTCTTGTCTAATGTTTAAAGAACAGAAATTCCTAGGAAGGGGTCATTTAGGGGAAGTAATTTTTCTAAAATGCACCACCTGCTTGATATAGTGATGCTGCTGATGACCTTACATGTGTAAAAATCACTGCCAGGCGCTGGCGGATGAGTTTTTCCCACCAGCAACACTTTTCTTCTGTGTTCACACCTCTCTTCTGCAGTCCTGCGGCTGCAGTCAGCACTCTACTATTTCCATTTTCTGTTCCTTCCTTTCCCTCATGCATTTTATTAATCACCCACAGGATATTAACAATTCCTTCTGTACAGCTCTACATGATCACCTGGGAAATAAACTTACCCAAAGACTTGAAAAGGTGCCTGAAATTACTATGGTTGCTGTGTAAGTACAGAAATACTTCTCCTTATCTCTCTGTTTCTGCAGACGGGCAGGGGTGAGTTCTGCCCAGGGTTTAGGCTGAACAGCCACCGGTGACCCCTGTTTACCACAGTGCTCAGCCCAAGCTAATAAGTCTCACTGAAGTGCCATGCTAATCAAGAGCACATGGCTTCCAGCCAGCCCAGCATGTGGGCAGATATCTCCTCCAAGTATCTAACCTTGGACTATCTTGTCCATGACAGTGTTTTAACACAGAAGAACATTAGCCTGGGGAAAATTCAATTAAAGAGGAGACTTGCAGAAGTACATGAGGCAGTTAGATAACCAGCTCCAACTGAAAGTCCATGGAAACTTGCTGCCAAGCTGGCCTTTGTGGCTTTGAAATATCTGCTGGGATCGGATTATCAAAAGAGCTGAACACCTATGCAGCCTTTGCAGAAAAGTTCAGCAAATGGGCTGGTTCTCCAAAGCAAGTCAGCATCTTGAGGGCAGCTCTGCTGCCTGAACTCACGAATGCATTTTCTCAAGCAGATGCAAGCAGTGATGTCTCATTAGAATAACTGAAGAGTGTGTTTTGCTAATTGGCACTGAAGATACATTGACCTCTGTTTTTGTTTCACCAGAGTCTGATTTTTTGTGATTACATTTAATAGTGACTGCAAGGGGAACTGAAGGAGAGGAGGCAAGGGAGGGAAGTGGGAAAGGAAAGAAAAGAAAGGGAAAGAAAGGCAAATGTGTCCAGTTGTGACAAGACAAGCTGTCCAGAAAATCTCACTACAAAGGAGAGAGATTTTGGAGGCATGAGTCTGAGCATTACTGACAATTGTTCTTTCATCAGTGATATTTAACTTCTTTCATTCTCAACTGAGTGCTGTCTTTGCCTGTGGACTTAAAACCTCTCCTTCCCTTTCCTTCTCTTCTGTGTAATTCCCTACTCCCCTGGGAGATACAGTAACTCACTTATTTCTGTCTCCTTCAACCTATTCATTCCAGCAACACCGCTTAAGTGGGCTGGTGGGTTGCCAGCTCACTTTCTAGCTGCTTGTCATCTCCCAGCTATTGTGCAATGTATTGCATGCAAGCTCATCCTCACACATGCATGCATATAAAATGACCACTGGATGCATCATCCATTATGTAGAACTTATGCAGGACAATGATCTGGCTGGGGGAGAGGAGGCACTGTGTGTGTGTGTTGTCTAGAGGGGGGTGCGGGAGTGGTGTAAGTTGATGTTTGGAAGCAGGACACCTGCAAAAGGCATAAAGGCTTCGCAGGGGTTGGAGCTGGGGCTGAAAATCTGTGGCTGGGGATTAGTGTGCTTTTAAATGTGCAGTGTGTGTATGTGCTGACCTCAGAGATGGTTATGGTATGCTGCTGATGTCCTGGGAACAAGGAAGACTTCAGCTCTGACATTGTCCCTCCGCTCTGTTTTGACTCGACACGTTAACCCTGGAACTCACTGTCTGGTCCTGTTGTTGGTGGAGCAGTAGTGGGGGGGTGAGAGGCAAGGGGTGGACACCCTTTGCATCCTTCCTACTTCTCTAGTGCTGCCACTGAAGAGAAGCTACAGGCCACATTCCTAAAGATTCAAACCTGCAAGAGACAGTCAGCACAGATGCCATTTACCTTTTCTCATCATGTCTGTAAGATGTAGAGCTCCGGCCACTGGTCCAAATAAACATTTTAGAGGGTTGCCCAGTGTTGGCTTTGCTCGCTGCAGTGGGACGATGGAAGGACCTGGGGGAAGAGGGATAATTTTTGTCACTGCCCATCCAACATGGCAGACCACATTATAGCCATCATGCCAAATCCCCTGTGGCTGTGTCCCGTGTGCTCTGAAAAATGGACTGTTTGTTAACTCAAGGTGAGATATAAAATAGTGGGAATGACAGATCAACATGTGAGAATGAAGGATAAATCTCATTAGTCCCACTGGTAAAATGTGATCCTAGCTAGTCAGGCTTAGCTATACTCTACACTGCAAAGGATTTGCATCATGGACAAGAAATCATTGGTAGTTTAAGAGAAGGTAACAGGTGCATCTAATGCTCTTATGGCAGTATTTTGGGGGGAGAAAGTGGCTACTCTTTAAACACATACGTGTTTATTGCAGTTTTTTAGTTGTACTGCAGCTCTCAGTAAGATAAGGCTCTCAAGGAAGGTGTCTGAATGAGGCACAAATATGAGACGTAGATGCAGCATTTTGTGGAAATGTAACTGATGTGACAAAGTTGACTTTCCCACAGATAAATTACTGTCCCAAGGCCATTTGGTGAGACCAGTTAGCTTCCTGTCCAGGGGCTTTTTTGTTTCACAGCAGGGTGTGAGACCTGTTACTTTCTCTCAGGCAATCAGGGTCTTCTGAAGAGGTGAAAAGTCTGAGGGGTTTCATTTTAGTGACTGAATTTGAACCTTGTGCTTCAATTAGATCTCAGAGAATCAGAAATGCAGAGTTGAAAAGATCTCAAGAAGTGTTGCTGCTCTCTTGCCCTGATTCAAGGCATATTCACTATATCTATGTAATTCATAGCAGATTTTAGTTACCCTCATTCAACTGAATGTGAACAACCATCTTTCCAGATGGCAACTTTATTGCCAGGCTGGAAGCATAGCCTGTATTGGACCTGCTAGTGGGGCTACAGCTCCCCTCATAGCTCCTAATATACTCCTGGTTTTAGTGAGGCCCTTCCTGGTGAGGGTTGTATTTTGCATTATTTCATGGCACAGCACTTTGTGCTTTTATTGCATTCAGAGAAAGGCTTAAGAGAAAAAATAAATATTCCAGGTACCAAATACCTTAATGCTGAAGTTTTAATGCACTGTGGGCCATTCTTTATCTCACTGAAAAATAAACCTGATTGTTCATGCTGTCAGCAGAGAAGGCACATGAATTCCTCAGTGCTCCTAGTCTGAAAAAATCTGTAATGTCACTATCGACATAATCATGCAAAGGGATAATTTCAATATTTGCATAGCGGTGAACCTGGGAGAATACTTAAATCCTGTGGAGGTGGCTGCAGGGGCAGCCTGACATGGACAGGAGCCAAAATCCATCCGTATGCAGACAGGCTGGTGGGTGCCAAGACACTGGGCTCTCCATCTGGAGTCAGCCCGGAGCCCCACCACAGGGTCCATGACGCAGACCCAGTCCAACTCAGACTCTGGTTGGGCAGCTGACTGGGCAAACTGGCTAAACTGGTGTGTCCATCACCTCCTCTCTGCTGGGTTCCTGCTGCTGTGCTCAGAGGTGCTGGATCGGGACTGAGATTTGCAGGCAGAGACCTTGCTTGAAATCGGAGATGGTAGTATTTGACAAAGCTTTTGTGCTGTATTCATGAACAGCAAATTGGACAAGAGAGCTCTCTAAAAGAAGGGAGGCGCAAAGAGGCGAATGCTCCCCAGCCCTTTCCCTGACTCTGTGTTCATCACTGCAGCTCTGGGAGCCAAAAAAGACTTTTCTTTCCATACAACTACTGTAGTTAAGTATTAGGGAATAAACAATAAGATGAGAAATTTCATCCCTGAAATAACTGTAGTTTAGAGGGTGAAATAGCATCTGCCAGGATGTAATCAAAATAGCCACTGACTAAAAGGAGTGTTTTTTATAGTGATACTGGTCAGAAATTTAGGGTGCAGAACCTTGGGTCTAATCCCCACTCTGGTTTATAAGATTACATCCTCACTACCTCAGACAGCACTACAGCAATTGCCAAGCCTGTGCTGAACAAGCTGGTGTTTCTGCATTGAGTAATGCAAGAAGGCTCAGAGCAACTATCCAAGGGCCTGGAGGCCACATTTGATATTGGACTGAGACCTGTCCCAGGCTGAGTCCCCTAATGCTGGAAGATAAAATTATGTGTTTGCCACTGCACCCTTTAGGATGTCACACATGAGCTGCATGACAGGAAAGCCTGTCTGGCACAGCTGCCACAGCCTGAGTGGTCCCAGAGCCATCAGGATATGGTGATGAATGCTAATAGAGAATCTGTTCTTAATTAAGCAAAACTTGGGCACACATTAGAAGTGATCAGCAGCTTCTGCCACCTGTCTGAGTCTACAGGGACACCTGGGCGGGACTGACTGGGCAGGGAGGCAGATTTGAAAGCTCCAGAGCAAATTGCAGGAGCACTGTCGGGGCAAGAGCTGAGCGAGAGGGGTCTGTCCCACTGAGGGAATGCAGGAGGAGGAAAAGAAGTGTCTCTCTTCCCACCAGTTAGAGTGATTTCAGGCTCTTCTAGTGCCAGTGCCCTGGAGCAGTCCATATGTGATAGCATCAATGCTGCCTGCTTCATTAGTTGGGCAATCCAAGCTAACCATCACTGTTTAACACACAATTGCACACCTAATTTTGTGTAAAATTGTAACATTGATGACATCATGGCAGCCACTCCAGAGGTCAGATATAAGTGACTGAGGTCCATGGTACATTTAGGCAGGGGTTAGCTGTAAGGTAAGAGCTTTTTGAGGAACAGTAACGATACAAACTCTCCAAGATCCTCCTTTGAAGGAGGACTTGTAACCTAGAACGTTTACAACCTACATGGCCACGTCCTGCCCCACTCTGTCATTTAGTAAATTTCCATGCCTTTCTCCTCCCCAGGTTAATCCCAAGGCAGAACTGTGAACTACTCTCCTTCCCTGTCCTCTCTCTCCTGAAAACACAAGTGGCACTATTTTTTATTTGCCCACTGCCTGAGTCAGCTGCTGGCAACATATTTTTACCGTGCAACAAGTAATCAGCCTGTGAAACTCATTACTGCAGGATGTCAGTCTAGCATTTAGAAAAATAGTGGATTGTGATTTTGCTTGAACAGACTGAAATCATGACAATACCTGTTAAAAGCAGTTTAGAAGAGGTGTTTCGAGCAGCTTTTTGACTATAAGAAATCTGTAGGGGATATTCCTATAGGGCAGTTTACCAGCAAACTACTGTACTTGATGTGACTTTTGCTAGTTGAGAAGCTGGGTTGGACTCTGGGTTTTGTGCTCAACTTTGCCTGAATGTTTCTGTCTTCATTACTGTGACATCAACACAGTTGTCTCTTGGCCCGGTTGCCACAGAGACAAGCAACAAGGCCAAGCTTTAGTTTTTTACAACACACCTCATTCTTTGTGTTTGTGTCTATTCTGAATAAATGCACAGTGGTAAAGAGAGAAATGCAGAGTGAAAAGTGTGCAGTCTTCTACAGATACATGTATGCCAGTGCCCAGGGCACTTCGCTGCTCTGCACTGGCCAAGGAGCAGCTCTGAGGGCCCGTGGTGCTGACAGTGGGTCTGCCCACGGCTGATCCACTCTTCCCATCTCCTGTTCTCATCCTCCTCTTGAACATTATCTTCTGGTGAATTTTATAGAGCTCATTAGAAAACCTGTCAAGGTTTCTACTTTTTAGCCATTTCAAGATGAAGACTTGAGATAGTTCTTGTAAGATTAGAACTACTCTGCCCCACCCTAAAGAGTGTCAACATGTCCACACAACAGCAACCACCTGAGAGGACTTCAGTGTGAAGAAAATATGCTGAGGCAGCAGCTGCTTCAAATTGCTCCATAAAAGATGTAATTCTGAGGGTGAATCTCAAAATCCCTTAGCTGATACCTTGGGAACTACATTACACGCTCTGTTGTCTTCACTTTCACCCTGGGTTGGCTGCTTTCCTGCCCCAGGCTTCACTTTATGTCACAATTGGTATGAAATGTCCCTTACCCCTAGGTCACCACATCTGTGAACAGCCAAAGAAGGATATAGCGGGCCATGTTTTTAGATGGAAAGCTGGCTATTATATGTGTGTTTATTTGTAATTGCCTCTGTCTATGTTAATCATAGGGTTTCTGAGACATTGGAGAACAATTTATGGCACCAAACTAATAAGGTTTGTTTCCCTTATGGCATTTCATTTCCAGGGCAATGTGGCCACTGTAAAAAGAGATGCACTTGCATTAATTTTGCCTCATAAAAGACACCCAGAGTTATCAAAAGCCAACAAAAGCTACACATTCACCTAAAGATATAATCACTGATCTCTTAAGCTTTGTTTGAATACACCCATGTCCTGCACTGTCCATGCTGCCAAGTTATTTGGATGCTTCATCCCAATATTTCCCAGGCAGAGGATTCATTTGAACCCCGACGCAGTTCCTTGTGAGCTCTGAAGTTTTCCTGCTAGGCAACATGTTAACCTCTCCCTGTGCCATAACACAACATGGCAATCAGTGTCAATTCTTGGACAGGCTGGGCAGCTGCTATTGAGTGGTGGGAGATATTTGGTCTCTCTCATGGCTGGAGAGAATTTTTCTGGGGTGGTCCCATCCACCATCGCCCATGGGAAAAGGAAGAGGCTGAAACTAGGCATCAAAGGCACCCTGCAAGGGGATGGTGGTTCAGTTGAATTTACTGAATGTGGACAGTTAGACTTTATGCCACAACAGGTCTTACCCATTCTTATGTCTGATAGTATGTTTTCTTGTGGCTTTGCTGAGACAGAAACCAGGGATAAGTATTGTGTGATAAAGAATTGGAGAATAAATAGAATGGCCTGTTGAATTTCTGATGTAAAGTGTAGCCTGACTGCTGAGTAGATTGGCATCCAAGTGCCTTAGTGCGTGGAAGTTTCCCAGGCAGAGTGGTGGAGTTAACTACTATATTAAGATGCTCCCGTATGATTCAGGAGATGATACAGGGGAGTTTTCTAGTCCTGGTATTGAAAGAGTGTAAGAGCTGGACCCATGACTAAAATCAAC